ATGCATACCAAGTTTCAGAAATAAATAATTATTTTAGTGTGAAAACGTGTTTTTTTTTTTTTTTTTTTTTATAAATAGCCTAACAACAGCTAATCGATAAGTTATTACTGTTTCAGCCAATCACTGAATGTTGGGGGATGGGAAGGTGAGTTTACTTATGCTAGTGAAATATAAACCAATATCTACACGCACGAGGCGAGCATGTCGGAACAGATATCTTTGATTCAATATTATAAGAAACCAAGAATGGAGTCTGAAACTGCACTCGATGATGCTGACAATACAGACACGTCGTCAGCTGATGACATGCAGCCAACAACGTTACATTACTTAACAGAAGATCTGCTTATTCAAGTTACTGAACTACTGAACACTGATGTCTTGTTAGTGTGCATGCATCAGCACTATATCTCGACTTGTCTTCCTTGCATTAGGCATTTATAAGCTATAGCTATAGCTGCTTGTTATTTTATTTATAAATGAATTTTGTTGTATTGATGAAACTGTTGGCTATTGTTATAAACCTTGCTTTGTGGAACGGGGCATTGTCATACTGGTTTGGGCTTCTTAGTTGCAGTGAAGGGAAATCTTAATATGTTACAGCATACAAATACATTCTAGACAATTCTTTGCTTCCAACTTTGTGGCAACAGTTTGGGGAAGGTCCACATATGGGTGTGAAGGTCAGGTGTCCACATATAGTGTCCACATATAGTGTGCATTTGTCTTATTATACACTAATTAATTAATATTACTGAAAGGGAAAGAAAGTTTCTGATTTGTGTTTATTTCCTATTATGTATGATATTCTCTATTATGTATCATCTCACATTATTATTTTGATGATTGGATGTCTGAGACAGTGATGAGGACAGCGTCAAGCTCATAGCGAGATACTGATTGAGGTCATCCAGCAAATAGACTGGACACACACTCTGATCACTGCGGCCTTATCACCAGGGAAGCTGCCAGAAAACTCAAACATGTTTAAAACGATATCTTATCACAGACTAACTGCAGAAAATTTGCAAAAAATTCTGAGGCTGAAGAAAGGAGGCAGCATATTGATAAAAATTAACCTTTTCTTTTTACTTCCTGGTTCCTTTACCTCCTGCCCTAGCACCATCCTGTCCACGACCCCTGATCGTGCTCTGTACCTGTTCCTTGTAATAAGTCTGATTGTGTCTAGTTTGTCTTATCTGTGCCTTGTTCTCTTGTATCTTAGGCTTTGTTGCAAATGTGAAATACAACACTTAATCTGTGTTCTCTAAATACTTGAACGCTAGTCATTTAAACAGAACCTGCGAAAAGAGTATAATTCAACATTTACCTTGTTAACAAAAGGTACACTCATGTTGACATGCTATGGTTTTTATGTTCATATCATATTTTGAACCATGCCCATGATAGGTACAAAAAAAAAGTAAATGTACCCTCCCTAGATTAAGGTTGCCAGGATCAGTACCTATAGCCAAGCCTTAGGGTGGTGTCAGCAGTCGTGAGCCTGGTGACAAGACCACCCATATAACCCCGCCAGGCTCACTGTGAAACCAGTGAAACTTAGATGGGTTAAATGCAGAGCACAAATTCCGAGTATGGGTCACCACACTTGGCCACAAGTCACTTCACTTGTGTCAGTATATTGCTCATTTTGATGTCTAAACTAGCTCATTGTACTGATATTATGACTACTTCACTCATGTTAATTTGCTAATGTCATGAAGCTAAAACTAACAATTTATTATTGACTGCACAACCTTAGCTAACACTCAAGGTAGATTGGTAAGATTAGCCAGTCACTTCTATTTAAATGTACTCCACCAACAGGACGAGTGGAGCATAAAAGAGTACATTTCTCCATTCACATGGGTAATGCACTGCAGGTGTCAGAGCTAGATGAAAATCATAGAGAGCAGCATTTCTGTCAAAAAAAAAAAAATTGTTGTGTTGAGTGTTGACTGCTGCTTATCAGTATGTTTATCAGTATGTAATTTTGTTCCAATGACGGGAAATCTTAATGTTACAGCATACAAAGACATTTCAGACACTTGTGTGGCAAACGTTTGGGAAAGTCCCACACATGAGTGTGATGGTCGTGTGTCCATATACTTTTGGCCATATAGTTTATTTCAGCTATCTCTCTCTCTCTCTCTCTCTCTGAGTGTATGTGTGTCTAAAATCGATCTTTGTGACATTTGAAGTGTTTCTAGCTAGCATTCTATGATTCTGATGCTTAGGTTGATAAACACATTTCTCCCTCCTTCGCTCTCTTTCTATTTTTTATGCAATTCAAAGGACAACCTGACTTTCTTACCTGTAGCTTAGAGCTGTAAGACACACACACACACACACACACACACACACACACACACACACACACTTTTATTACAGTGTACTCATCCTCTTTTCCTTCTCTGCAATTTCTTTCATCATCCATTCTGTCCATTCTCCTATATACAGTATATCAGAAGACAGGTGTTAGACAGTGAAGATTATTATCTATGAATCAAACATGGCTGTGTGGAGTAGTGAAATATGATATGAATAACAGATCCCAGGCAGATCAAAAGCAATGGGGGCATTTTACACATTATTATATAACCTGGATCACATGATATATGGCAATTTGACACTTGATGTTATATTTTAAAAACGTTTATGATGGCTTCACCAATGTTTTTTTTTTTTGCACTTTGCAAATACACAATAATTGTGAGGTGAGTGCAAAATATGCAACAAATACACAGAGCAATGAATACACAGGATAGTGTCTAGTACACACTAACTAGACAGGACAACACAATATTTGGATGGATTACATGGCATAGCTGACAATGCCATATCATAGCTGAGTAGATTTATACCCATAGCATCATATGGCTAGAAACCACGGCAAACATTTTCATTCATTTTCAGTAAGCACTTTATCCTGTCAGAGTCACTGTGGACCTGGAGCCTATCCTGGGAACACAGGATGCAAGGCAGATGGGATGCCAGTCCATCACAAGGCACCCTACACACATATACTCTTAAACTCACACTCATTTCCACTTAAAGGCAAGTTTGAGTAGCCAATTCACCTACCAATGTGCTTCTGGAGCTCAGGATGAAACCAGAACTCTGGGTAATTTTAAAGTGTTTTCTGGGGTGGGTGTTAGGAAGGATCTTGATTAGTCCAGCTAGGTGTTGGGTGCAACAATTGGTTGAGTAGTCTGACTGTTGCAGCGTCTATCAATGGCACTATAGATCTTTCAGTGGCTTCTGCCAAACAGCAGGATGGGAGGGGTGAGAGGGATCATCCACAAAGCTGGTGACCTTGTGGATGTAGCACTTATGGTTGTCATTGTTCTCTCAGCTACTCCTGTCAGGGGTTGCCACAGTGGATCATTGGTCTGCATGTTTGAGTTTTATGGATGCCCATTCTGAGACAACCCTCCCATTTTATCTAGGCTTCGGACTGGCACTGAGAGTACACTGGGCTAGGTCGGCTCTCTTAATTCCCTGCCTGGGAAATGAACCCAGGGTGCAGTGGTGAGAGCATGGATTCTTTAGCCGCTAGACCCCCCCAGGGACCCTAGATGTAGCACTAGGTAGGAGGTGTAAATAGTAGGTAGAGAGACCATGGTAATCCTCTTAGCTGATTTGTTGGAGGGTCTTGTGGACTGAGACAGTGCACTTGACCCAGAATCTGTTATCTTTAATGGTTATTATCTAACATGATTATCTATAATGATTACTGTAGAGAATATCATTTATATTATTATTTATGGTGGTTATCTGTTGTGTTTGTTGCCAATAGTTGGCATGATAGATTGTGGTTACATCATTGGAAAGTTGTTTATGTGGTGGTTTTGATATTATCTCTAATGGTATTGTCTATGGGAGTATTAAGACGTTTATAATCTGTGGTTATTAGTATTTATTACCTGTATTATATTATCTATGGTGGCTAAGGAATGAATAATGAACATTATCTACTGTGATTTTATACCAATGGTGCTTATTGCATTATCTATGGTGAGTATTATTGTGATTTTGGTATGAACTTTGGTGTTTGTTGCCTTATATATGATAGTTATCATTTGTCTTGGTTTTGCTATCATCTAGGGTGGTTAAAGAATAATGTGTATTATGATACATAAGGTGGCAATTGTTTATTGTCATTTGGTATTATTTATGATGGTATCATTTATATTTATGATGATCATCTACTATTTAAAGCAGCTTATGCAATAGTGGAATATTGTATAAACAACATTACAAACTTTGAGAAGAATTTCTGAAGCAAACTGATAATCAGGTAGATTGCAGACAAAATTACATACAAATTTCTATTTTGTAATATTGCTTATTTTGTAATGTATAGGACTTATATGATCAACTCAATAAAAAGAATTTCCAAAGAATGGCAAAAGAATATTTACGAAGGTAAATCTTAACTGTAACCATTTAATGCTGCTGTTGTTCCTCTTTCAGTTGCTCCCATTAGGAGTCGCCACAGCAGATCATAAGGTTTGCATATTTGATTTGCCACAGTTTTTACACCAGAAATTTTTTACACTTCCTGATACAACCATCCCCAATTTTTATCCGGGCTTGGGACAGGCACTGAGAGCGCACTGTTGCATGCAACCCCAGTGGCGGGGGTCGGTTTCCTGGACGGGAATCGAACCCGGGCCGTGGCACTGAGGGCCTAACCACTAGTCCTCCAGGGACCCGTAACCATTTATAGTAAAATTGTAAAATTGTCCAGGGTATAGCAATGCTCACCAAATACACTAACATAAACCCTTGTGTTATGCATGCAACATTATAAGAGAAACGTTATCACCTAAAGAATATCAGTGCAGTTCAAAATGCTTGGACCATTTTAAAAGTTGTTAAAAAGCAAAAGAGTTTTTCATCTGCAACTATTTTAAAAATGGTTGTCTTGTTTAAACATTAACAAATACACCAAGTGACAGGGAAGACAATACACTGGGAGCAGGAGGGACATTTAGTCTGCTGTGATTTTAAGCAGTGATCAGAATGCGCTGTGCTCTCTGAGCCTGTTGTTTTATTCAGCCAAGCATCCTTTAACAAACCGCAGAATATCAGTTACAGAGAAATAAGAGTGTCTAAATCCTCAGCAGTTATTTACTAGGTTTTTTTTTCTTGCTTCATGCAAGTGTAACTCCCTAAATGTGTTTATTTGTGTGTGAGAGAAAGAGCACTAAACGACTGATGGAAAATAATAGCAAACAAAAAGACGAGAGACAATGAGAGAATATAGAAATAGATGTACTTTATATCCTGCCTTCTATTCTCTTCTCCTCACTAATGGACTTACAAGACAAAAAAGCTCAGTCAAGCTTTTCAAATACGCTGACGACACCAGCGTTACTAAGCTAATTTCAGGAAATGGTGACTTGTCATAACAACAGGAGGTTGTCTAGTGCTTTATTATACTGTAGAGACAATGATCTGAGTACTCTAAAAATGATCAAATAAAAATGATAAACTAAGCTAAATAAAATCATGACAAGTTAGTATTTTCACATCATTCAGTTACAAGTAAGCAAAAGACAGACAGTACAGTAGGGTCAGATTTTCTGTGAGTCTTATCCCTTCCACTGAAGCATGTGTTCAGATGACATGCAGATGGATTTGATCTAACATGGATCATCAGGTTTTACACAAACTTGTGGAGTCTGTGTCAGCTGCAGCACACACTGTCATTAAAGCTAAAATGGGACAATATCATTTGTAATGAAAACCGTTGTGTTAAATTGCAAAAGAATGCCAAACAGAAGCATTTTCACTAGTGGCCTCAGACTTTGGGACCCTACTATACATACAGAATACATACTGTTATGATAACATCTTTCTGAAGATACTATCTCTAACAGTTGATCATGTTGCGCCACTTGGGAGCCCTCAATTGATTGAATTTGGTTGATTACACCTAAGTTAAATACATTTAACAGGCATTACTGTACCTGCATATGGCTCTTTTTTTTATATCATACTGGCTTTGATTATATATATAGTGTGCGTGCGTGTAGGTGTGTGTGTTTTCTAGATTATTACATAGTCAGATTAAAAACATTAAATGTTCAATGCAACTCAATATGTTTATCAGTTTGAGGCTTCAGTTATTTGGAAGGAATTATTATTATATTTTTATTAAGGAACCAGCATTTTTTTTCCCGCTTAAAGTATATTGCCACACCCTATTTAAAAATAATAGAGGTATATTAAAACAAGCAATAAAGGTAAATTGATGGTGCAACAATGTCAATGTCCTCTAAAAGGTACACTGGTGGTCCAATTATGTTGTCTAAATGACTTTTAAAAGTACACTACATCCTTTAGGTCCCCTAAATTTACAAAAGTTTAGTACTTTTTTCTCTGAGAGAGAAGCTATCAAACGACTATTGGGAACAGTTTGGGCCTCTATTTATTGCTCTTTTCTAAAACATAAAAGTGTAAGTGGAATGATCCTGAAATTGCAAGTCGCTGAACAGCAAGAAAGTGCGTAAGGATGGATAGGTAAATTCTCTCTTTCTGCTTCTGCCAAGAAAGCCCCTAAATCCACACATTCCTTAATTTATTCTCTGAAATTTAAACATAAAACATTTGGCACATTAGCAAGACTGCCACAGACTACAAAGAATTAGAGAAAGTGTGAGAATGAAATATTAGTGAAAAAAACAAAGAAAGAACAACAGGAAAGGCAAGAAAAAAAAAAAAAACAGAAACTTGCCAGGAAGTTGAGAAGAGGCTAGTAATTAGCTCCGTCCATAAAATTGCAGAGCAGTTGTGATGATGAGGAAGGAAACTGTGGAAAGTGAGAGAGAGAAAGAAATTGACAGTAGCCAAAAAGAAGTGGCTTCATAATTTCATGTGTCAAGTGCATTTAATTACAGGGACTTAATTACTGTGCTGCTTTGGAGTAACATTTCAGGATTCATCAAGATCACTTCCATTAGCCATCCAGCTTTTTCTGCTTGGTTAATAGCGATCCATCTCTCCTCTGTGACCTCACAACCCCCTCAAAAAGAGCCTGGTAATTACTGAACATTACTGAACATAAAGAATGCTTGCTGTGCATTTTGCCTTAATTACTCTCTCTCTCTCTCTCTCTCTCTCTCTCACATAATTCCCTTTTCCCTGTTTCTCTCTAATATCCTGGCTAAGATTTCCCAGTAAAATTAAAAAGGGTAATTAACCTAGATAATGTTAGCTTAGTTAGCAGATTCTGAATTCAACCACAGGCAACTCAGACTTAAAGACTTATAAAAATAGATGAGCTTTAAAAAAAATAAAAAATCATTTTGCAAAATGGCCTCTTATGTCTTAAGCTTGCTCAAAAATGCTCAAAAAAAATACCAACTGATAATGGCTAGTTCACCAACTGAGTATGATTAAGGAAATTGGCACAAAGTAAACCACTTTAGATCTACTATATTTTTAATAAATATTCATACTTCTGTTTATAATGAGGCATTTGACTGTGCTCAGAATTAACCAACCACATTCAAAATCATGTTCAAAAGTAATCATCATACACCTAGCATCAGTGACGTGATTCTGATTAGCCCCAAATAAAAATCAACTGTTTCTGTTGGATTTTCTTGGTATCTTCTAGGTTTCAACTGACTTACAAAGCATGTATGGGATTTCATTTGTCAACCATTATCGATCAGGAGAGGGATACAAAATAAATTCCAAAAGATGTTACTTTAAGGTTTTTTTTTTGTTTTTGTTTTTTTCTCTTGTTCCCCTAAAATGTTTCTATTTGTTTTTCACTTGAATTTTGTTGGTTGTTCTTTCACATTAAAGGTCTTTAATTTTTAACATCACAAAAACATGAAATTTTAACAGGGGCGTGTAGTCTTTTTTTTTTTTTTTTTTTTAAATCGACTGTAGCTATGTTACCTCTAGTTAGACATTCCTTCAGTCCGGACCACCAGTGTGGTTTCCTTTTGAAATAGTGCCATTTTCCCATTTGCTACACTAACTGTGGCCTCATGTAGGCATGATCATGCTATTTTCCATTCTCATTTTTTTCAACTGAAGATCAGTATGAAAAGCAGGAGTACAGCACAGCAATGAATTCTGTGATGAGCTCTTATCTGCATTTAAGACCACACTGAAGCATACGGAAAAAAGAGCAGGCATATTTGCTACAGTAACTGATGCAAAAACCCTAGACTTGAGATAAATGTCTCTGATAGAGAGACCAATCACCTTAATAGTAATACACACTAATGATGTGTGTAAAGCCATGATACAAACAGCCCAAATATAGAAGCTGAAGATATAATGCTGTTTTGGTGCAAATTATTACAGTTCAATTTGAGTCAGTACTATACTATTATTTACGACTTTGCTCATTTGCACAGTTTGCAGCCTGATCATGCAGCCGTCAAGGCTGATAACAGCTTGAGAAGTGCAAAATAGTTAAATCAGTCATTGCTGTTTTGTGTTATTTTATAATAAACACTGTAAGTCTGTATGTATGAATTATTTTTCTCACCCAGGCCTACACAGGCAAGTAAAAAACACAAACATATACAACATGTAATGTAAAGCGTCAGGACCAAAATATGACATCACTGTTTCAAACACTGACCCACTGAACAATAGAAGAGTGAATCTCAACTGTAAAATACACTCATTCAAACACTGACACGCTGAATGAGAGGACTGAATCTCAGTCATGACCAAAAGGTTTCACTGAGTGGGTGCAGATCAGGTTAAGCATACATGCAACTGCAAATATGACCATTCAAAGATGTTTAAAAAAAAATACTAATAGATAAATATTTAAGGTAAGGCTTATGTAACATGCGGTGAAAAGCAGGACACAAGTGTGACTGTGACGGGGGTATTTGTGACATAACTCCCCCCACCCCCAAAGGATGGTTTCCAAAGTGCCAAAACGGATTAAAAAAACAGAGTCCTGGACCCCTGGGCAAAATGTCCAGACACGGCCGATGCACTTGAAGCTGGTGTTGCCCTCGGTGGAGCAGGGAGGTGGAGCAATGTCCTCAGCAGACGAGGGAGGTAAAGCAACACCCTTAGCAGAGTACGGTGGCAGAGGAAAGTCCTCCATGAAGCCAAAGGGGGGAGTAAAACTGTCTGCGAAGCCAGTGTGGGAGCAATGACCTCCACGAAGCAAGAGGTGTTCTGTAGCGTGCATTAAAAGGCAGGATGCAAGTACATAACATCAGCATGCTGATGCTTGAGAGTTAGCCATAAATCATTGCCACAGTCCATAGCAGAGGTCAGATAACAGGCAGACAAAAACAGGAGGTAAGTATAATCACTAAACCAAAGAACATGGAAACACAGGCTTGGAAACGCACATTAACAATTACAAGACTTTGCACTTAAAAAAAAAAAAAAAAGACAAGAGGTATAAATCAGGAACTGAACACAATGATGGAGACAAAATGCACATGGCTATATAGACAAAACCTGTCAGGAACTCAAAACAAACTAAGGTGAGAGCCAGAACTTGCACGGAGAGCTGCAGTGCATGCTGACAGAGAAAATTTGTGACAGTTACTCAAAATTTCAAGTAATCATGAAACTGATTATGGATATGCATGCAAATGTAGTGCTTTGTTTTGTGGCTACATTTGCAGTGCCCATCAGCAGTAACTAAATGAAAGGAATGGAAGTGCATCACAGTGACCAATACTGATTTGTTCACCTTGGTGATTCA